GGAAAATTATCCATATTATAAAACTGCTGGCACTGGCTGGAAGGTACATATATAAATAATATATATATAATAATAATTTAAACTAATTAATATCTTTTAAATATTTCATTAAAATTTTTATAGAATTCAATCAGACATAACTTGTCTTTGAATAAGACATTTGTCCGTGTTCCACGTCCAATTAATGAACCTGGTAAAGGATCATACTGGACAGTTGATTTTCGAGCGGCAGAAGCTGAACAACAACATCGTTCTCGAAGTAGAAATAATAGATCTTCAAGTGATCCAACTCCTTATCATCGTACTGAATCATCATGGCCATATGATAATCGTAGATACCGAGAACCAATGACTGCGGTAGCTGAAATGGGTCGACCTTACTTTGACGTAGGTCAATATAGTAATATGCAGAATATGTCATACCGACAAATGCGTTCACCCCGTTATACTCAAGCAACTATGGGACAGTCTTACCTTCCACAAGGTCTAGGAGGTGGAGCTGGTATCACTAGTACTCAACAAACAATGTCTTACGCCGGTGCTGGCATCGGTAATCTTGCTGTCACTGCAAATTATGATATTACTGACTATACGAACATTCATGCCCATCCTACCGCTACCGCTCATGTGGACGGACATAATGCTACCGCTTTTAACGGTTACAATACCCATCAGATTTATCAACAACAGATGTCAACACATCCAACAGATACCAACACAGCGGTGGCTCACGCCTCTTATGTTTAAGAGTAATCTGAATATAATTTTTGAATATAATCTGAATATAATCTGAATATAATTTGAATAATCTGAATATAAAGAAGACTTTCAAGATGTCTTTTGTTAAAATAATAAATAATATACAAAAAAAAAAAAAAAAAAAAAAAAAAATTTATAATTTGTACAGTAATTTTTTTTACATAAAATATATATAGTATATAGCTTAATAGGATCTAATTAGGGTTTTTATGGCTTATATATGTAAAGCTGAAGCTTCATATATAGGAGTCTATGTCGTTTACCTATGACTTTAAGTTTACTTCTTTTGTACTTTTTTTTTTTTTTTTCTGGTCACTTAGTACCGATTGTACAAACGTGATATCCCAATTGCAAATGCAATTGTTTTTTTCAACTATTTTTCTTCCCCCCTTTTTTTTTTTCTGGCTTCAAAAAATTCATTTCATTTCTCTGGCTTAAATCTGAATATTATTTTCTCTTTTTTTTTTTTTTTCTTTATATACACAATTTTACATACCTTAAATTAGTCTTAGTTTATATATATATATTTTTTAGTTTTATACATTTAGTCTGTTCTCGCTTTTTCTTCTTTCGTAGTATTTGCATGTTTGATTCTTTTTTTTTTCTCTGTTTTGCATTTATTTCTCTCTGGCGTTAGTCCAAAGAGAATCATGACGTCAAGCGCGTAAAACTTGAGAAAAAAAAAAAAAAATCAAAACTTTATTCATCATAAAATATACCAACATCATTATATACACAATACATTTTTTTTTTTTTTTACTACTTTTTTTTTCTTATATACATTGTAATAATTTGCAAATGATGCTGGACGAGATTGTTTATATATTAATTAAAAATCACAAACAAAAAAAAACGAAGATTTTTTTTTTTTAAAAAAATATTTTGTAATCAATTTTTTTTTTTTTTCTTTCTACAATTTATTAATACTTAATATTACTTAATATCAACGAAAAAAATATATATATATACAACTACTTTTTAAACGTATAATCTTGAATACTGTGTATACTATATCAATATCAAGTTGTTTTTTTCGAATGAAATTGATTGAATGAAATGAATCAAAAGTAAAAGTAACCATGATGAAATACCACGATGAAAATACCACTACGATGAATAAAATACTATCACGATAATTAAGATGAATCAAATACTATCACGATAATTAGATGAATAAAATACTATCACGATAATTAGATGAATCAAATACTATCACGATAATTAAATGAATAAAATACCATCACGATAATTAACGATGAATAGATGAATTTTGTTTTTTTTTCCCCTGCATTTGCAAATAAATATTTGCACTAACAACTGGAAATAGGAAAACATGAATATTTCATAAAGATTTGCAAACAATGCAAAAAAACAAATAAAAAACAAAAAAATTAAAATAAAATAAACCCAAAAAAAAAAAAACAAAACCATTAATTTACGCGCGTCGAAAGTAATCACGAGAAAAAAAAAAAAAGTAATACTTTGAACTCACGTGAACGTGGTTATAAAAAATTTACAGTATCGAAGTACGTATTAATTGTATTAATTAACAGTGTATTAACTTTTATCTAAATAAAATATATTATTATGTAATGATTAAAAATTTTTTTTTTTTAGAAATTAAAGATTGGTTAAAAAAAACTAGATTTTCTTAATGCATAACGGCTATAACGTCACGCTCAATGTTGTAAAACAAAGTGAAAGCTCCGCTTCGCTCATAAATGATGCTAACACTCCCAAATTAGGGGGAAACGATCCATTTTACCCGGGCATTGCCGTAATTTATTAATGAACAAGCATATAATGATCTTCATTTTACCTTGAAAATTTC